AACTTCTGAAGGGCTTGGCATTTACTACCCCATGGAGGAGAAAAATAAATGAAAGAATGACTGAAACTGGACTCCAGGATGGATTGTATAGAAATTGGATGTTTACTGACAATTTACCCACATTGGGGAAACCAGAGAACTCAGGAAACTTGTTTATATAAGCTTAATGTATGTGTATTAGGGCCTGTACTTACCTCAACAAAATAACACTAACGACTAAAGAAGAGCTTCTGACTTCTGAATTTATACATGCTTTAAGCAGACAGGCTGGGTTTTTTAAAGATATTTAGGTATTTAACGCTTATGAAAATTAAAGGTACCTTGAAAACTTAAAAAATCTTGCCCATGTACTCAAAGAAAGGACTTATTTCTGAGAGAAGCAATCTGTTCCACTGTTCTGGCAATCCAGGCATTTACACTTTACTTTCCTAAATTTATTTTGCAATTACATTTGAAAAACATGTTTCTTTGCTTCCTGGTATGGTGATATTCCATGAACTATTGGACAGTTGCTATTTTGAGCTGGTTTTCACCCCAAATGCAAGGGCATTTTCTGTTAAATATTTTGAGATTCTCTAGGAAGAGAGGCACTGTAACAATAAGAAATTGAATGATATTCATTCAAGAGTGCTCAGATGTGCATGCATGCAGAGTTAGCAAATAGCTTAATCGGATTTGGTTGCCTTCAAAGTGCAATATAAAACTCAATTTAAAAGATTTTGGAATAAAGAATAAATAAAAGTGAACTGAGCACTCAGAGGGAATGATGAAAAAATGTTCTCCCCTATATGCTGCCTTAGAATTGTCATACTGGCAAAAGGAGTAGAATATTTAAAATATTGCTCTAAAAAAGGGCAATATGCACCCTGCTTGCTATATGCCACTCATCTGGCTACATGTAGTTCAACATGTATTTCCCGCTACATGGGACAACTACATGGTCTGGAGCAGAACACCTCTGCTTGTCTCCAAAAACGGGGTGTGTCCTACTCCACTAGTATCTTCATGTTCTACACTGGCTACTTATCATTATGCAGTGCTGTTTGTAAGGTTGACTGCCAGCTCTGGGACAAACTGATCACCATGATGCTCTAGGACCCGGTTTTCTAGGAAATCACTGCTTGCTTAAAGTGAAAGAAAGTGAAACAGGAATATTGGATGGGAATGAAAAGGCTGCATCCTGTAAATTTCAGATTTACATGCTCTTGAGGAAGAATTATTATTCGTCAGATACCAACACATTGTCTGGGTACTAGTTAATTCCAGTGATACGCAATTTCAGCCTTAACAGTAATAATTAACATTTAGATTTTATTATTTATTAACAATGTTCTGTCCTGCTTATCAGTGACAAAATTCTGTGTATGAAGCACACTGAATCTTTCTTAAACACAGCTCTGATTGTCATTGCCTTTCAATAACTTTCTTTCTCTCTTTCTTTTTAAAGAATTTATTACAGAATGATCTCTTTTTCCAAATCTGACTTGGCATTGGTTGAACAAGGGAATTTCAGCAAAATTTCTGTCTTAAATGTATTTACTTGAATTTACATAATAATTGATTAATGATTGGAAGGTTTGCAGGAATCCTAACCTATATGTTGGGCCTTTGCCTCATTAATCTTTTCTGTGACAGGCTCTGGGCACCCGCAGGCACTCAAGAAGCGTGTGTCTGGGTGATTAACACAGACAGATGCTGCAACATTGTCTCTCTTAAATAACATTTTTTTTCTTCAAAATGTACAGTAAGCAAAAGTCTAGAGGATAGGACTTGTTAGGCAAGCTAGAAATGTCCTCTACTCTTTCCCAGGTATACCCCCTTTCTTATTACATAACGATGCTCCCCTGCTAAAAGAAAAATCCTGCCTTCATAGAACTAAATATGACACTAAGACAAAGCTCCAAAACTGTCCATCCTTAGGAGCAGTAGGAATTCCCGTACCCCACATGCTAGCCCCAAAAGTTAGTGGTTGCTTTGTGATTTGAAGTTTCATAGACACTCAGTTTTTATCCTAGTGAATGTAACTGTATGTATCCTCAAACTCTTGGTTTCACTGGTATCTCATGGTAAGGTTAAAAGTTAATGTTGGATTGCAAGGGGGAAAAAAAAGTATTTAACATTTCTTGAATTGCTATTTACTGTAATTGCACTGCCCCCTTGGATTCATGTATTATGAAAAGCAAAATATGACGTTCTTGAATGACCTTGTCTATACTAGTCCAACTAGATAGTTGCAAAACATTTTCTTTATTTGCAAGATTTCAGGCTCACGCTCCCTTCCCTTCCTCAGGCAAAGGAGAATGCAAAGCAATTATAACATTTCTCTCAGGTAGAAATACTTTTTTCTGCCCTTGCAATTCAGGATTAACTTTTAAGATTGTAAAATTTCTCCCAGGTAGAAATGAAAGTTTAATTTCTACCTAGGAGAAATTTGCATTCTCCTTTGCCTGAGGAATGGTGCATGGGTCTGAAAGCTTGCAAATAAAGACTTTTTTTGCAACTATCTAGTTGGTTTAATAAAAGATATCACTTCTACCACACTGACTGCTTTTGCTTTTAAACCAACACAGCTATAGCCTTTATCCCTCGTCTATACTAGTCATTTTATATATCTACATCTAATTTTTCAATCCTCACATTTGCAATCAAGTCCATCCATGCTTCTAATGTATAGATTTGTAATGATCTTTCTGTTTTTGTGCATATTCCAATCAGCTAAGTCCATTTTGAGCCTGTGCAGATCTCTGCAGTAGGAGAGGTTGAAATGGAAGTAGCTTTGGTGCTAGTTGTCCCTGTCGAAAGTCTGGGATGGAAACCAGGATCGGAGTGTAAGGTGGCCGATCTAGTTAGATTTGTAGGTTCTTGGGGCCCTCTCTTTTACTCTACATTTTATACCTCCTAAAATTGTACCTCTAGGGCTAAAAATAAAGGTCAGGTTTACACTGGAGCTGAATGTCCTGGGCTTTGACTCCCATCAAAACAGGTGTGGGACAGTCTTTTACACAAATGGAAATTAGCTCAAATTAGACCTGATTGCCAGGGAAAAGTGTTAACTCAGTACTTCACAGGTATTTAAAATGGAACAATGGGTTTGCACTTGTGAAGGATCCCAGAGTAAAAAGGCTTTGTCCTGGAAGGAATCCACTGTCAGTTTTTAGCCTAGTGGCAGGTCAGTGATCCTCAGTCTGTTCGAGCCATGCATAGATTTCTGGTCTATGTTGGCCTATACAGCTAAACGTTTAGTGCAATCAGGACTCATAGTAGAGATGATATCTTTTATTAGACCAACACAACTTTTGCAAAAAAAAAAAATTCTTTAATTGCACACTTTCGGGCACCAACACCCTTCATCAGGCATTGGAGAAAAGATTGTAAAAGTTCTCCTGGGTAGAAATGAAAGTTCATATTTCATAGAGTCAATAGATGGAAAACTCCTCTGGGCAGTCAGTTCATAGCTGGTTCATAGCTGGTAAATGTTTATTGGACTCTCATGAGTGATCCCACGCCTGAGAGCTGTGACCCAATCACTGTTTTACAGTAACAGAAGTACAATGCAAGAAGAATGATGCAGGGTCTGCCTTGCCCCAGCAGCGAAATCATGTTACATTCAGGAAACTTTTATAGTGAAGATGAGCTGGTCTGGGTTGCGTTTGACCAGCAGGAGAGCCATGCTTACAGCAGGCATCATTGGCACTGCCCCGTGCTTTGACAGAGGTTATAGCTTTGATTGAGGTGATAGGTATGTAGCAGGATTCAGGGTCAAGGAATCTAACAGGGGCCACGATGTGAACTCTATGCTTTAAGTCAACAAATGTTGATTATCTGCACTTACTTGCTGGAATCACCCCACCAGACAAGAGCGCAGCACAGAACGCACCCAGCAGATTGAAGAGGCACCCACTACACAGCCATAACGTGGCTCCCGATAGACTGAAACCATGGAAAAGCCCCCTTTCTACAAGGGGGCCACTAAATCAAACACCGACAGCCACACCACCAGAAATGTGGCGGTCACAATTAGAAATGGCCTGGGTGGGAGTTAGGATGAATATCAAAGCTGCCAAATATCTCCCTAGAGGAGCAGAGCTCGACTGGCCGACACGGAGAAGCTCCAACTGCCTCCGAACAGGCCAGTAACACTACAGTTAACAGGCAGGTGTGGGGGTGCGCCAATGGCACAAGCACCACGTGCGGATGTGCAGGACACCTTCAGGCTCCAGAACACTTGCCGGCCTGCCTACGTACAGGGCTGCCACATGCTGACCAGGGCCTAGCTACGGGTATGTACGCGCCTGTTTCTGGGCCCAGCTTTGCATACAGCAACAGGACATGAGCAGACCAATGACTGTAATGGGGGCACCGCTAGCAGACTTATGATTGCAACAGCGGTGCCCAAGCAGGTGTGCCTGCGACCTCTGGGTGTGGCATGTGGCAAACTGGGGAGGTGACAGGCAGCACCGCAGCAGATAGGGCAGGGAGCACAAAGCAGAGCAGGGAAGATGAGCCAGGAGGAGAAAGCAGAGTGGCACACTGGGCTGCAGGCAACTTCTGGGTCTGGCACACGGCAGATCCGGGAGGGGACAGGCGGTGTGGGACTTGAATGGGCAGCGAGCAGAAAGCTGACCAGCAGATCAGGGACGGGAGAGGATCTGCCACCCAAAGCCACCCTGGGTCACCTGCTACAGGACCCCACCTCCTGGGCAGGGGCAGAGCTGGTGGTGTTCTTGCGGGGAGGTGAAGCAGCCGCTCGGTGACCTGTTCTCTGCTGTAGCGCCCCCTGCTCGCGGGGAGCTTGCGCACGCAGCCCCGCCCCGCGGCCCGAGCGCGCCTGCGCAGCCCAGCAGGCGGCGCTGCCCCCCCAGCACTCGAACGCTGGCGCCAGCCCCGCCCCTGGCATCACAGCGAGGCGCGAGGGGCGGAGCCTCCCCGCGGCCCGCCCTCTCTCGCCGCGGCGCGTGCTGCAGCCGCCTCCCCTCACACACAGCGGCTGCCGTAGGAGACGCGGCCGGCGGTCGGGTCTAGAGGTGCCGCGATGAGCCCCGAAAAGCCGTCCCCGACCCTGTCTCCGCCGCAGGCGCCCGCCGAGGCTGCGGCGCGGGGAGGCTTCCTGCGCGAGATCCGCACGCCCATCCGCACCGAGCCCTTCCGCCAGCGCTACAGCCTCAGCCCCGGCCGCGAACTGGGCAGGTGAGCGCCCGCCGACCGTCTCCCCGCTGGGGGGTGGTCCAGCCTTGCACCGCTCCCTCCGCCTGAGGGTGGGGGGGGGGCCTCGGAGCAGCCCCCCCCGCCCTGCGCGGGGCCCC